GAAATAGGACTTTGGGAAGTTTCGTGGCTTACCCCAAATCGCCAGCATCAGAGGTGCAGTTCCTTCAGTTCCTGGGACAAGAGGTGAGCACACGGTGATCAGAGATCTCTGCCCTCACTGTCCTGAGAAATTCACCTTAAATTAAACTTCCCACCAGGAACCGGCGTGGCTCTGCTTTGCCAGCGCAGGGAAAGCAGGGCACAGCGGGTTGGGAGGTTTCATGCAGAAAAGGAAGGATTTAGGTAAATGTGTGCTGCCTGCCAAGGCAAATACTAGTGTGAATCATGAAGGATCCACCAACCCCAGGGGATGCTGCGCTGGCAGGACCAGCGCTGCAGAAGACACCAGTTGCTCAGCTGACCAAGTGTCATCCTTAATGCTGGATGGACAAGAAACATACACCTTGTGGTAAAACAGCCACGAAACCTTTGCTGGGAGAGCCACACGTCAGCATGTTTGAAAAATTATCTGTTTCCTGTTAATTGACTTTGACGCGGGAGCTCCTTTGAGGTTTATTTTTGCAAAGCTGAAGGGTTCAGGGTCCTCAGCCCCCCTGGGGGTGGGTATAATATTAACCCCTGTTTGAATCCTCTGTGGTGCCCGGGCAGCAGCCACAGGGGCTGGCGTGAGCATCCAGACTCGGTCAGAATCACTGAAGTTAAAAATGTGTCAGGTTCGTGATTCTACCCACAGAGCAGAAAACGCCAAACTTGTATTATTTTTGAATCCCCTGATTTTTAAGGGCTGGTGGAAATAAGATATCTTGCTTCTGACTTCCAAGCAATAAAGAGAGGTGAATCACTACTGAAAAAAAAAAAAAATACTTCCATGGACCACCCAGTTGCTCCGTACAAAGCTGTAAAACGAGCCTCGGCAGAAGTGGCAAAGTGCAGAACTATTTTCTTAATATTACTGCAATCGCACGAGGCAAATCACATCAGAAAAGGATCAGGCTTTCCTAACAAAGTAGCTAAGTGAGAAGTGTGTTAATGAGTACAGGCTGATTAATATGCATTGAACTCAATCACATTCGGGTCAAAGGGGGAGCACCAAACGTGGAGTACAACGTGTTCTGTTCAAAGACCTAACATGTGTATGTAATTCAGATTTAAATGCTTTTTTCCCCTCATAATTCTGGGTAATTATCCAACTCAGGATAAATAAGTAATTATTTTTTTTAACTAAATAATAGTTAGGACTTTTGTTACTTACTGTAATTGGTCAGATCTCTCATTTTTTTAAGATGATGTGAATGTGTTACTGAAGAGTCCTGCTGGGGTTTTGAAACTTGTTTCTTGCAAGTCACCATATTTAAAAAAAATTGTGCCAATCATATAAAATACAAAGTAACATGTTTTTAACATTTATTTGTTGCTATTTTTAATGAGAAAACATGCATCTTTTTAACAGAACACTGGCTAAAAGTCCTCAGACTGAAATTGGGCATGTGTTCTTGATGTTTGCATTGTGGAAGAATATTTTGGGAGAAGGAGGGGAAGGAGGGAGCACGCTGGATGGGGACACTCCGGGATAAACTGTACGGAAACTCCAGGGACCAGCATTTAGACACGCAGGTATTTCCCATGGGGACTTGTAATTAAGACATTGGATTTGTAATTGGGAGATTTTGTTCCTATTTCAAGTTCTGCTGTGAGACCCCTTATGTGATGCTGAGTGAGTTTCTTTTAGGTGATATCCCTGGAGAGTGTTGCTGAAATAAGAATTAGGTGCCAAAATTCTGCTCCTCTCTGCCTGTAACACAGCTGTAATACATCCTAATTTTGATCTAACTTTGTTTGGTATGTTTAGATTTAGGTTTTTTTCAGGACAGGAACTGTCCTTTTACCATCTGTTTTGGCAAGTCCAAGCCAAACAGGTCCACGTAGCAATTGGAGCCTCCTCGTGTTACGTGAGTATAATGAAATCTGAACAAAAACCCACTGGGATAATGCCCAAAACCCCTTGAAAACAAATTAAGTGTGCTGCTTGTGAAGTAAGGTGGTGGTCTCATTTCCTTGTTTGCACCCGTATGGTTGGCACTGACGCGGAGACCTTACTCTTGAACAAGCCCCAGCAGAGGTTGGTAGCTTCTGAGTGAGGTCAAGAGACACCTCTCTAAAAGCTAAGGGCAGAAAATAGAAAAGAAATACGTAAAAAATACACTGCGGCATTCCTAGACATCCCAGGGTTTAGCCATAGACCTGTTCCATTGTCTGTTGTGTTTTACCATGATAGTGGTACATGATACATTACCAGAGGAGGAGAACCTGCAAGGTTCACTAAGGTTTCCTCTTTACTTGAGATGTGGCTTTTTGGTGTTCATGTGGAGTTCTTGTATATGTTGGAGAAGGCAGATCCAAAGATGTCCTTTGCCGTGGGAGTGGAATGTTTGTGATGGTCTCCAGCTCCCAAGGAGTCTTCTTCTGTTTGACTTGAGTTGGCTCTCAAAGGCAGCTGGGTTTCCTCCAGACACCTGTTGTCTTTGGGTGCAACATGGGCTGGAGGAGCAACAGAGACCTTCAGCTGTGCCTCTTGGGTCTTTGGTCAGTCCTTCAGCTTCTGCATCTCCTCAGGGTTTCTGAAAGTTTCATCACTTGTTCACTGAAAAGAGGAGGGCAGTGCAGGGGGGAAGTGAGGGGACTGAGGTTAATTTGGCAGGAGTGTGGTCCACAGTCCAGCTCCTCTGTCTGTGGTGGGATTCTGGGAGTGTCGTGGGTTTGTGTGTTTGCTCTTGCACTGTCTTGAAAGTCTTCCTTGGCCACATGTGCTAAAACTGTAAGTAAACAGTTCACAGGAGGATAAAGTTCAGCTCTGTGAATGCAGGAGTGTTCTGTAAATGAAATAATAGTTGTGCCAATCAGCTTTCAACCCAGCTGGAAAGTGGGGGAAGTTCTCATTAGCTGGTCTGAAGGCTGAAAAATAAATGACTGATACATCAGGGCATTATTTTTCAACATCTAATGCATTAAGTCAGCTTTATAACCTTCACTTTTTGTGGAAATATGGTGAGACTACTTTCTTTTGTTACCTTTTTTCCTCCTCTTTTGTTCTAACGTGTCTGAGGAACAGCTAGTTCATTAGGGCCAAACCTTAAGTAATGTGACTAATGGGACAAGAATCCAAATCAACCTCAAAACTCAAATAGTCCTGAACAGGCATCAGCTGCTTTTCTCTTTTTGTCTTTGTGTGTGTGAATTCCCATATATTGTTTTATGTCAATACTCTAAATCGCTCCTAACACGTTCCTTTGTGACCGCTTTGGTGGCTGGGCATCCCTGGGGAAACCCAGGTGTGTCTTCACGGCCACAGCCCTGGGGTTGGCTTGGTTTGACACGTCATGCTGCTGGCACTGGAGCAAGTTCACAACGTCCATTCTGCATCTGGTGCAAGTCCTGGTGTCAGCAAGGTCAGGCTTGCAGCAACGTTGTCTCGGGTGAACCATGGAGCAATTCAATGCTTCCACCGCTTTTGGTTAAAAACCACGTTGTATATGAGAGCAAAGCAATGAATTTTTGAGTCCATCAGTTCTCAGCATCCCTGGTGGCTCCAATGCAGCCTGGGCTCCTGCCTTCCAAAGGTTAATGGGCAGATGGGATGAAATTGTGCTGTGTGACACGCGGGATGACACACCATAGTTAGGAGCAGAGATGGCTGTGTGATGCTGGGAACTATGTATTTGGAAATGGCTTGTGCCTAGGGGGACTTGTGTGCACGGGCTGGCAAGCACTAATGTGACACCCCAGCAGAGAAGATAAATGTGGCATTAAAACACAGCGGGAGGAGCAGTTCTGGTTGAGCGTGAGAAATGGTAGCGTGGCTGTACAAGTTCCTGGTGAGACCCGTCTGATATCCTCCGTATGGTCCTTGTCAGCACCCAGAAAGATTGATTGAGCCTTGCTGGGGTTGAGGGCATGGCTGCTGGGAGAAGCAGGCAAGGAAGTCCTCTGGGAGAGGAGACAGGAGCGGTTTGGCTTGCTTGAAAGTATAAAAGAGGAGAAGTGCAAATAAAACGGGGGGTGATCTATGAATAGGTAAAATACTGGCTTGGAAAAAAAGAGTAAGTATAAGTTGGACTTCAGTAAATTTAAGCTGGAAAAATAGAAGTTAAAACCAGTGCTTGTGAGGAAGCAGAAATTGCTCTATGCGTTCAGGGTTATGAGAAGCTCTAGTGAAAAGCTCTGGCATGGAGTTGGCATGTACCTTGAGCAGGGGTGAACCTGCACCTTCCCCGTGGCTGACGTATGGACATGGGGAGGAGGTGATGTCTTACAGCTGCAAAACGAAGCCGTGTGCTGTGAAGAAGCGATTCATGACCAAGGCTAAATGGGCAGTGCCCAGACACAACCACCTGATGCTCATTAGGACTTGCTGGAGAACTGCAAGGAAGTTCCTCGTATTTTTCACGTCACCATAAGAGCAAGACAAAAAATAACACGTGCCTACAAAAAGCTTTTCCCAATGTGTACAAATATTTACAGCGCCTTCTCCAAGGGCTGGCAGATTTTTCCACTTTCTCTGCCTTACGCATGCAAGACAGTCTCCTAAACAGCCAATAAAAGCCAAAATTAAAAAAAAAAAACCTCTTTAAAAACCACACACTTCTATATTTAATGCTGCTTTTTAATTAGAAGGTCCGATATTTCCTCCTGAAGGGTTTCAGGAATGTGGCTGTCACAGATACATCAGCATAAGCAGGAAGCAGACGATTCCCTTGGGGCCGGTCCTCTGCGCCGTCACCGGGAGCACTATGGAAATCAAGTCACACTATACCCTGGCTGATCCTTCTCCTGCTGAAAGCAAGGGCAGAGCTCGCCTTGCAAGCCAGTGGGGTACATTTGGGCTGTAGCCTGGGCAGGGAGGGAGATGCAATCATGGAAATCACGGAAAATCAGCAAAGTACGTGCTAGGGTGCTAAAATCCACCCGGCATTTCCTTCTCCGTGCTCTTCTGGTGTCATTGAAGCAGATGCAACAAATTCCACTGCCTTCTTTCCCGTTTAGGTCCTTCTGATCATAAGTGGAAACCTGAGTTTCCTCAACTGGCTGACCATCGTGCCCAGCATCGCCTGCTTTGATGACAGCAGCCTGGGGTTCCTCTTCAGCTCCCGGCGAGGAGGGGTGAAGGAGCGGGCGGCGCAGATGCGGCTCAAAGGGGCAGCTGGGGAGCATCTTCCCCTGCCCTACGGTGAGTTATTCCCCGAGCAGGGGAGAAGTTGCACAGAGGTGTGTTTGGTGTGCGTACCTCGAAAGCTGTCATCTCCTTCTGGAGCAAACATGGGTGGGCAGGGAGATGTCTCCTCTGTGGTTTGGAGGGCGCCTGGACCTCGTGCTGGGGACGGCGGGCGTGAAGCTGGTGGCCGGGTCACAGGCACCTGCAGGGAGATTGCACATCCTCCATGGAGGGCCAGCATCCACAGCGAGTGGAGACAGCTGTGGCTGTGACACCTGAGAGTCAGTCCTCCTTGCTCGCACCCCAGTGAGCATCAGACACCAACCCTAAATAAGAAATGTGGAATTGCACAATTTATCTAATTTATCTTGTGATCATTTTTTCTTTACCATTTTTTGTTTGGTTTTTTTTTTTTTTAATTCTGACCATTTAAAGTCAAGGATGAAACATCCAGCATGGTTTGGGGTGAGGAATTGGTGTTAGAGGTTGAGTACAGAAGCAGCTCTGGTGTTTGCTGTCCTCTCTCCCCCATGGCACAGTGGCCCTGTGGCCCATCTGCCCTCCTGGAAGGGTGCTAGAGCTGCACAAGCACACTGCTTCTCTGGTTAAATAACTGGACATGAGGCCAGACTTCCAGAAAGAACCAGATCGATTGTTGATCCATTGTAGGTCCAACAACTCTTCAGCTAACTGGGAAAGAGACCTGGCTGATGGCAAAGTGGCCGTTCCCCATTCAGTGTCCCGGTTGGAGAACATGAGAGGAGCAGATGCTCCTGGCCACAGTTGGCACCGTGGGCACTGCCACGGCCTGGAATGAGTTCTCTCAAGCAGGGAGGAGGTGAGCTCACGTTCATACTCTGAATTCTGAAAAGCAAATACAAGGGGGTTTGTAACCGAACAGAAGGGATCAATGTGGCTGATGTTTCCTTCTGAAGGCAGTTTTCACACAGCCCTGTTCCAGGAGATCGCCTGAACAGGCAGCACTGAGATGTTTTTCATGGGGCTGCATAACAGATGTAGAGTTGTGTTTGTAGCATTTTTATAAACCGCATATAAGCACAAATTGTCTATAATATCAACAGCAATCACAGATGCTCATTTTTAAATATACTAAACATCTGTCAGAAGAATGAAAAACGTCAACAAGACACAGCATCTGTCTCTAGTCCTTTCTCATCCGCCAAGAAACAGCTTATTAACCAGAAGTGTTAGTTCTAGCAAGACTAATGCTGTTTTATTAATGCACTTTCTGTGTCTCCTATCTTACATATTTTGCTGGAAGAAATCTTTTAACAGCTTTTCCCCTCCCGTAGCTTTGCTGTAGAGGCTGTGAGAGCCTAGAGCCTTCCTACCAATGGTATTTTTGTGTCTGGTCCCAAACAACACTCAAGTTGCACCTTGCTTTCTGGAGGAGAAGCCAAAGGGCACCCCTTTGCTATGGCACTTGACGAGTTACCATGAGGGGCAGGTAGATCCTTTTTTTGAGGAACTTGATCCTTTTCTGTGATGTTCTCCAAAAACCTTACTGAGCCAGCGTCCCCAAGCAAGGAGAACCATCCATACTTACCACGACTCTGGAGTGTAGATATGTCCCTTTTAAAAAGGTGGACTCTGTAAGTAAAGGGTAGGGTATCTGTAGTGTTCTGGTTGAACTTGGATTTTTGCATATTTTTTCTGCTAACAAAGCAGAGGCTGTTGAACTGGTGCTTATGGGCTGTGTGGCAAGAGGCTTACCTCACCAGAGCAGAAGACAGGAGGGTACCCAGCCATGCCCCACTCATGACCCGATTTTACAAGGCTCTGGCCACATCCTTGAAGTGTCAATGTAATCCCTACTGAGACCTCGAATTCCCATTGCTAGTGCTCAGCTCCTGCCTGCTTGTTCCAGATCCCTTGGCTCGTGTCTCATGCTCCTTCCCCAAGCCTTGCTCCATTCTTGCTGTGTTGTTTGGGGTGGGTTTTTTTTTTTTTCTGTATTAAACCCTTTTTCTCTACAATTGAGTAGCTGTGACCCTAAGGGCGTGATGATGATCACCACCTGCTGAAGGACAAGCAGTCCATGAGTGGCCATAAAGTGTGACCTCAGGAACTTCTGATGCTGCCCATGTGGTGGAGGGCTCTGTCTCTGTACCTGCTCTTTAATTACAGGCTAGAATGATTAGCCCATCTAAAAGACAAAAAAAAAAATTGCCCGATGGACTCCTACTGCTCTCACAGCAGCACAGGGGATGAGGGGAGGCATCTCGGCGAGCTCCTTCCCAAATCAAATGATTGTCCAGAAATGTTCTCAGACTAAACAATTATTAATAGCTTCTGAGAGAGGTTCAAATAAACATCCTTCTCCTGCAGAGATAAGGGGAAAGCTACAAGCAATTGCTTTGAATCTGATCCTTTGGCTGTTAACGTTAAACAAATTTAAAACGGCCATAAGGGTAGGAACCCTCCCCCCAGAGGTCAGGACTGCTTGTTTGTCTGGTTGCAGTAGGTGTCTCCTTAGACTGGGATCCAGCACAGCCCTGTGTGGCTCCTGCCAACCAAGTACCAAAGCGCTGGTGAAGCGACACGCGTCTCGTGCACAAATGATAAGCAACAGGGGTTTGCAAGAGGAAAATGAGGTTTGAACGGAATTAGGGAGCAAATGGGAGGAAAATGCAAGAAATAAGTCCGTGAGGAGGCAGCCCCGGGGAGCTGGAGGCTCTCCACGCACGGCTTACACACCAGGAGGGCAATTTTGAGCAAGGTGCAAGTGCCAGCTGCGTTTTTTCCCCCTGTATTAAAGCAATGATTAATCTTACATTTTAGACATTTTTCTTTTTAGCCCTTTCTCAGACTATTTGGAGAAAGGCAGATCTCTGGAGCGATAGCGTACGGCCCTCGGCAAGGTCGGGTTGATTATGGTGGAACATTTGTCAACCCCGGCCAAGAGCAGCTGTGAGCATCCAGACAGGGTCCCGGCCACCATGGGGGCATCAGGCAGAGGAACGGGGGGAGCAGAGCCCATCACCAGCCATGAAATCACCTTTTCCTGGTCTGCTTCTGTGTCCCAAACAGGCTGCTATGTCCGCAAAGTGGTGAACATCTCCTTTGGTGTCCTCATTGCTTATCTCAGTGTCCCGGTTGTCCTCAACCTGCTCAACTCCAGACAAGTCATGAACACCTCGTTCAACCCACTCAGGATAGTGAACACCTACGGAGCTTTCGGGAGGTACGTGTATTTTCATGGCACATCATATGGCTCTGCTGCTCTCTCCAATGTAGTCTGATAACCAGTCTGTGTGCCTTAAACCTAAACCAAAATCCTAGAAATTCTTCTAGTAGCCAGCAGACTTGGAATATCTGTTTATGAGAGAGAAGGAGAAGAGTAGTGTTTTTCTTTCCCACCGAATTCTAATTTATGGAATATCTGTTTACGAGAGAGAAGGAGAAGAGGAGCAGGTTTCTTTCCCACTGAATTATAATTTATTTTCTTTGAGTCACATTAAGTTAGCTTATTATATTAATGTAGCAAATATAATAGCAGGATGAAAATATCCATAAGAGAGTTCATCCAGTGGATAGTCTTCACCATCACCAGCCCACTATATTTATGGTGGACTTCTCTTCCCCTGCGCGCATTTGCTCTCCCTCATGTAAATATTCACATAAGCTATTGGGTAGCAGAATGAAGGCCAACAAAAGGAAGTGCTTTTTCCAACGAGTGACTTGGGGAATTCATTGCTACAGGAAACTGTGGAGACGAAAGTATAAATGGCCTCAAAAAGGAACAAGGCAGATTGAGAGGACAGGCCCAGCAGCAGTCTGGCTGCTGCCTTCAGCTCAGGAAATCCCACTTATGGTTGCAAGGTGGGACTGGACAAGGGAAGCATCTCCAGTTACGTTTGCAAGCAGGTTGTTTTTGAAGCATCTGAGTCTGGGTTTTCTGGGGACAGGTCACCAGTGACCAGCCACAGTTGGGCTCACCATAACCATTCTTGTGTGCTGGCCCTCCAGCCTCTTCCAACTGAGGAAATGCTTCATCAGAACAGCTTGCCCCAGGGGCAACAATAGGGTCAGTCATGGACCTCTGGCTTTGCCACCACCTTGCCGTGGTGGCCATGGGGTGTTCCTCAGAGATCTGAGCCGAGGGGTGGGATGGGCAGCTCTTGGGTTAGTGCACTCTGGACAAGGTCCCACAGGAGAAGCCAGCAGTAATTAAATAGGTTTATAAAAGGTGAAGCTAGTTGGCTTTTGAGAGGGCTGGCTGAGTGGATGGGGAAGGGGAGGAGCGGGGTCTCACTTTGAGCACTGAAGATGCAAAGGACACCTGGAGCACATCAAATCAGTATCATGTTTTTTCCCCACTTCTTCAAATAGCAGAAACTTCTGTGGAAAAAAATGGTTAGAGAAAGACATGATTAAAAATATCAACACTAGTTGGGAAAAATGCTGAAGTTTCTCCTTTTTTTTTGAGAGAGGGAGAAATAACCCCTGAACCTCTTTGAAGGCTGGAGTGGTGAAGCTACGGGAGATTGTTTTCTTTGGGTTGTTGTTCTTTTTCTTCTTCAGTCTATGGTTTCTGTTTCAACAGTTACCAGAACCTAAAGAGCATGTGATGAAATGCTGCTGTAATATGTTTGTAATTCCAGCCTATGTAAACCAATAAAAAGAGGATTGCAGCTTATAATGAATATACGATTATGTGAAACTTGACATATTTTGAATCACACAGTAGGAACATACTTTTATTAGTAATTTGGTGTCCCTGATTTACAGTGTGTTTCTAACCATTGGGCAGCTGGCCACGGCTCATAACTCAGCCCAGTGTATAATATGGAACTTGGCTGGAGAATCCAGAAATCTATTAAATGTAGGTAACAATTATAAGCTGAGACGTACAGCATTCCTTGGGTTGTAAGCATCTATCACTGGAAGCCATTGGGGGAGAAGGTGGAGGCTGTGTGTGTTTCCAAACTTTCGGTTTCTTGGGTTGGAAGAGGAGGGACCAAAGTAGTAAAAAATTAAAAGGGTGTTGGGAGCTGGACAACTTTGATAGGCAGAGTTACGCAGTTCTGTGTTCGTTATGGAAAACAGCTCTCCAGTGTAGGCAAGCGTCACTGACAGGTCATTGAGAACTTGGTGTTTTCACACGGGCTTTCTGTGGCCTGGAGAGTTTGCCATCCATCCCTGCTGCTCTACCACCTTGCTGTGTAGAGAGAGTCCAGCCAAGCAGCAAAGGGAATACGCGTGACCTGCCGTAAGGCTGGGGTGCTTTTTAACCAAGTTTCTGTATATCAACTGGCTATGGGGGGCTTTTTTTGTTTTCATTTTCTGCTTTTCTTGGCTTGGTTTGCATTGGCTCACACGTTACCTCCTTTCCCTCCTCTTGCTGAGTAATAGCTCCATGAGACCTGTCTTCCAGCCGGGACGGTGAAATGTTTGGGCATGTAGAGACAGCTGTTAATGATGCCCCACGAGTCAGCTCCTGGGGGGTGCTCCATATGGGGCCAACCACCTCCCCACAGCTCAGGCAGCTGTAGCCAGTTAACCTGGGCTCATTGCGAGCATGTCCTGCCCTTTCCCATGGCCAAGGTTTGAGCTGGAGCTCAGCACTTGAGGCCAGTGGCACTGCAGGGAGAGCCAGGCTTTCAAAGGGGACACTGGAGTGGTCCCAGCTGGAAGCTGCTCTGCTGATCCCACAGCTGGAGGTGCCCAAAAACGCAGAAGCAGGGTATCTGTGCATATTCACCTGTGAAATTTCCCCTGCAGATATCTTTGGTGCTTGTAGTCAGAGAGTTCTTGTATCGCAATAACAGAAAGGTTTTCTTCAGAGACATGGGGCAAAAAAGCTGGTGCATGTTAAAGATGCTCATTTGGGTCTTGGGAAACACTCATTTTATTCTCTCAATGTCTTGGACAAGTATTAGGCTCTAATTTAGAAAGACAGACCCATCCATTTCAGTAGGAATCACCTTTTTGGGCCGTAGTCCTCCTTGGACTGGCACAAATGCAGTGTGATAGAGGTGTAGAGTGGGAGGGCATGGAAGTTGAAGTTTTCCATATACTCTGCTGCTGGAGAGAGAAAAGTCTACTGGATAGACAGGTTCTCTGTAGCTTGACCCATCAGGAACCAACTGTACCACCAGGTCATTGACTCATGTTGCCATGTTGAATCTCATGAACTCGCATTTCACACGACTTGAGACAAAAAACCAATATCATGTTGTGTCCCACAGCATTACCAAGGAGAGAACAGAAGTCATCCTTCAGGGGACATCCAGCCTGGATCCCAATGACCCCACTGCTGTCTGGGAGGAGTTTGACTTCAAATGCAAGCCTGGGGACTTGAAGAGGAGGCCGTGCTTTATCAGCCCCTACCACTACCGCCTGGACTGGCTCATGTGGTTCGCTGCCTTTCAGGTATATTTTTTTGGGTGCTCTGAGACTTGAATGTCCCTTGACCAGAAAAAACAATTTATATGAATTTACTATGTGTTGGGGTGGGTGGGGGAATATTTGAAGCTTCGGCGAAGTTAATTATGTTTAAAAAAAGAGGTTGTATTCCTAAAGGATGTCTGCTACTAGTGTAATGAAACTCTTGGAAATTTTATGTGAGGCTTTTTAATTGTTTCCCAACAATAACAAGAACTAAAGACACTGTGAAGGTCCTTGGACTGCAACTGCCTCGTGAAACGGTGGCACAATGGGACAGGAGCTGCCTCGCAGGGTGCCCCAGGACTCAGCAAGGATCAGCATCCCCAGCTGCATGCTCTGCCCACCAGTTTGAACCCCCATCCTTCTTGGGACACCCCTGGGGACACCGGCAGTTGCTTCCACTGCTTGCCTCCCTACATATGGACGTAGGGTCCCACAAAATATTTTCCCCACATGGTATCAGCAAACAGGTGACAGCCATAAATTAAAAAAGAGAAGGTGGGGGGGAAACTTGTACAATTAATTCTTGGATATCTTTTGCATATTCTGCAAAATCTTATTCACGTGAGCTCGAGAACTTGGACCGGGTTTTACAGAACAGGGTCTTACAGCCGTGGCGTGAGGCAAACCCATCTCAGATTATCAGGGACTTTTCTCTTTGTTCTTGTATCGTCTCCCGGCGAATCCTCTTCCCTCACTCCTCTCCCCCTGCCCCAAACTTCTCTGTTTGCTTTCTTTGTGGTATTTTCATTTAGGCGCCTTTTGGATTCCTCAGCGATGACATAACCATCGCTCTTTGGCTATGGTTTTATATTTACCCCGCTAGTTTTTGTGTGCTGGAATTTCATTTAATCTGCATTAGGTATGCTTATCCCTCAGCAAGACAACAGCAAAGGTTAAAACTCAAGCCAGGAACGGTGCCCAGCTTTACATGAAGGTGCAGAAGGTTGAATGGGAGCTGTTGGTTTAAATCTGACTGTGTTTTGGGAGGGCTCTGGCAGCGGAGGAGAAATCCAGCTCACCCAAGCAAAGTTGTTTCTGAGATGAGAGAAAGCCTCTTTGTTCCCAGGACAGGAATATCCCAAAGGCTTTAAAATACAAAGTGATCTCAAGTTTAAAACCAAAGGAGGACGGGGGGACACAACATGATATTGTTTTTTGTCTCAAGTAATGTAAAATGAGCTAGCGTCAACATGGCAACACGAGCCAATGGCCTCATGGTACAGTTGGATCCGGATGGATAAAGCTATAGAGAACCTGTCTATCCAGCAGATTTTCCTCTTTCCAGCTTGCCACACCAGCTGATGAGCAGCAATTAGTGTCGTGGGGCTCGTCCTTGGGCAGGAGGAGAGTGGGTGAGTCCTTGACTCCCACTCGGTGGGGTTTGTGCTAGAAGTGTGAGGTCCATCACCTCTCCACTACAGCAGCACCAGGTGGAAATGGGCTGTTGGCCCATCCCAGCACGTGCATCCCGTGCCCACTGCAGTGCTCCCTCATCCCCTCCTGCCACTGGGGCCTTTCCCATCGCCCTCCTGGTGCACACGGGTCTCCATCAAGCAATTTCAAGTCATGCTTGGAAGAGTTTATTAACAAAAGGTGCAGAAAGGAGAAAAAATCTTCTGAAAAGCAGGGGTGATGTGATGAAAACAACAGGAAGGCAAGTAACGTAGGCTCGGCAGCAAGCATTTTCAAATCTGGATGTTCAGGAATTTAAATACCTGCTTAAGCATGGAAGTAAATCCCATTTGGAGTGGCCGAATGTTTGTTTGAAAACAGTGAGCTGTTTATTTGGTGTCATCCCTGGGGAAGCTGGCTGTCCTGCCATCGTCCCCGTGCTGCCATAGCCAGGAGAAGTCACTGTTGTTTGATTGTTGTTTAGACTTGAGTCACGCAGATCTGCAGAAGGGATGAGAAACCAGAATTCGAAACCCCAGAAGAAATTTGTGAAGCCAAGCAAGTTTTGCAAACCCCATACAGTAGTTTATGGAGTCCATAAAACCAAGTTACTTCAGCCTCTGGATTAGATTTAATTTGTTTTTCAAAGTTCTGGATTTTTTCTACGCCACTGCTCACCATCTGCCCCATCGTTTCCCGAGCAAGTGGCCGCAGGGTTGGTTTTGCAGTTCGTTGGCGGTGGCCAGGTAAGGAGCTGACATATCCAGCTCTGACAGGCTGCAGAAAAGCCGGGGACTTGGGGGGAAGATATTTACCATCCCTTTGTGCTGCTCGTGACAGGTTCCTCTTTGCACCTCATCACCGCTTGACATATGACGCCTTCCTCCGCTCGGGGTTTCCTGCAAAACTTTTCCACCTTGGCTTATAGCTGCAGGACTGGCTTTGAAGAGCTGGAGCATGGGAGAGCCAGGCTCTTGGCATGGCTGGCGTGGGCCAGCGCGGTGAGGCAGCCACCGGCACGGCCCTGGCGCAGGAACGGGAGGAGCCACGGTGCTGCTCCACCTCTGAATTGCAATTTATTAGTTGGCTGCCTCTTAATTACCATTCCAGTAGTGCCGTAATTATACGTAATGTAACATGGCATTATTTTCCAGGAAACAATTTTCGGGATGTTAATTTTATTATCTAAATATAATATGCCTTTTCACTTGTTTTCTAAATCCCCTCTTTGTTTTGGATGTCTTGACATCCCGAGGGTGCTGTGGCTCTGAATTGAAGCCCTTCATTTAGTTCTGGCAGGGACATAACCCGTCCAGAAACATGTCTGCATTGCTTCTTCCCGTCTGCAGAAGGGGAAAAACTCCCATGGACCGGCAGTAGCTGCAGAAATCTGTGCAGAACCCTTTTCAGTCATTTCTCAGCAGCCTCCTGGGACGGGATGTCATTTGCTCCGTCACCCTGGTCACCTGTGTGCAAAGTGGGCTGGGGTCATCTCACCAAAAAATAACGCGTCTCTCACTCAGGAGCTGATGTTTAGCTGCTTGTTGCTGAGATTGGTCGCTCCGAATGACCTACCTCCATAGCAGGAATTTAAACCAAGGTCTGAGCCAACTTAGTGCACGTTTTTAAGAGGAGATACTGCTAATTGGAAAGAACGGCATGATGTGCTCATTGCATTTGCAGGTGCAATGCTGTGAATACAACAGAAGACAAGGTCTAAAAGCCCAGTGATCTTGCTGGTTTGGGTCCCAGCAGACAGGAGGGGTGTCAGCGGTGCTGCACATGGGCAGGACCCATCACCTGCCGTGGGATGGGATGGAGCAGAGCGTTGTGCTCCGGAGAAACCTCTTGGGATGAGTGTGCATTGCAAGATGAGCCCATTTAGGAAAAGGCAGAGTGAAAAGGCAGGCAGGATAGCAGAACAGGTGAGCAGGCATTTGACATGCACGGTGTCACCCTCCCACTGCGCTCAGCCGAGCACCCAGGTCAGGAAGGATTGAGCTGATGGGTGAGGGTGCAGAAGAGGGACCCGCAGGAAGAGCAGAGGTGGAGAAACCCTCTCCCATGGCAGCAGAGCAAACAAATCTGCATGGGTGTCCAGATGTCAAAACAGGTTTGGAATAGGTGGAAACCTGCTGCAAAGGAGAAGGCAGCCATCTGTTTTCTGTGTCCCCGTGGAGAAGGGAGGAAATAATGGATGAAATGGCAGAATATGATTTAATCTCAGGAAAATTCCAGTTAAGCATTAGGAACAACTTTTCACCCCTTGACACTTTATTGTGTTAGTGCAAAGACATCCTGTTTTTACAGGAGCTGGAGACAAATTGTTAAAGCTTTGTTTGTCATCCAGCTACTGATGGCAGCGCTCCTGTATTATTTGACTTCTTTATGGTGGGCATTTGTAGAAGGAGCCCAGCCATCACAACCCAGAACTGAGCTATACTGTGCTGCTGGTACAAAAAGTGTTACAGACAGATTTTTGGCAGGCTGTGGGTGGATTCAGCATCGTTAATAAATAGCAACCAGAAAACAAAATACTGTTCATAGTTTTGGGGCTTCAAGTTGGTCACTTTTCCTGGTAGCGGGATGTCTTGGATTTTACAAAAGCCAGTTGTTTATCGTACCAAAGATTTGTTCTTCACCAGTGGGCAGCACTGGAAAGCCTACAGTGCTCTGAATAAAGAAAAATCAAAGGGAAGGCTTTTCCCCTCCTTACTATGGCACGAAGGTTATTTATTCTATTTGGGGTCTGCCTTTGGCCAAGGTGAAGGCATGCTCTTGGTGCTTACCAAATAATAACTACTCAAAAAATAACAAAGTTAATGCCATCTTCATATTGCATTTTTAAAGCCCAGTGTCTTGTTGCATTGTACCTTGATGCTCCAAAAGTCTCTGAATATCAGGACTGGCACAGAAACCACTCAGACTGGTGGCCCACGTTGCTGTGTCCTACAGGGCTCTGCAAACCATCAGCGGACCCACTGCAGAGCAGCACTTGCAATACACTGAGAAGCAATATGTGTTTTCCAGATATGATGTGTAAGTTTATTTATAAACTTCAGCTGCCTTCCTAAGAGAAGAGAGAAACTTCAGTAACGGGATTGATGCTCTGAGGATCTCCCCTGGGTGGTAACAGGGAGTCGTGATGGAGACTTCACGTTATCTATCGCACACAAACTGGAAGAGCTGAGAAAATGTAACCCTATTTATAGAGGAGGCAGATTAATATTTTTGTGAAGTATTCTATTCAAGCTTCTGTTATCTCGGTCTTCCAGCCAGAAGGTGCTTACAGGAAAAAGCTTCACGGCAGCCGAATGGAGAAGGAGGTGTGTGTAACGTAATAAAACCTAAACCTCATGTGCAGTGCACTAAGCACAGCCTTTTACATTTCCTTTCTTCCCCCTTCTAAAAATACAGGCCTCAATTCACTTCCATTTTCCATTCCAGCATTCATACGTTTTGGTCCGTGTTCAGCATGTAAGAACTTTAATTTCTTCTTTTAATGGTGATTACTTGTCTCCCTGTGAGTATGAATAATTTCAAACTCCCCAGCTGCATGTAGACAAACTGCAGGCTGGAGCACGGGCACGCTCACCTCTAGCAGTAATATTGTGATGGAAGTGCCTAAAAGCCCAAATCAGACTGATAGCCTATCTGTCACGGGCTGTATAAATACAGAGTAAGACCTTGTCCATGCAGGGAATGATTATTGTCTACAGTGGCCATTGTATCTCCCTGTCTAGACTCCATTCTGGAACAAAGTGACTTTTCTTTCCAAGTCCAGAGGTGATACGGGAGCTGTGCCAGGTGCGCGATTTCCCCGGAAAGGCAAGATCTAAGAGCCCAAAGTCTTGCTCTGCCTTTTATTCCTCAGCCCAAACCTCCTGTGCTCTGCACTGCACCCGCCTCCTCTGGGGACCTGCTGCTTTCCCAAGCATTTTCTCCTAGGACGGGCTCAGGGATGGCTTTTAGTGAGGCTTGAGAAACTGCCCCCACTGAAATATTATACATTGAGCCAGACCTGCGAAGAAACCTTTGGGAAACTTAATAGAAAGAAGGGGATGTGGTTATTGTGGATAATGAGAAGTGATGTGACCTAATGTAGCCTTTGACCTTCCTCGGTTAAGTGGCTTGGGTAGCGGGATGGTAGCAAACATTGGTGAGCTGGAATATCATAAAGAAGCCAAGGATTGCATGAGTTATGCCCTCTTTTCTGTGGGAGATGGATTATTTCCCCAGCTGATAGCTAAACAACAGTCAAAGGAACTCAGCTGCAGAAGGGGAAACAGCAGTGTAAACAGCAACGTGAATATTGGGTGAAAACATCCAGGATGGTGGAGTTACTGCTTTACATCCCCAAAGTGGGTAGGCTGTGACGCAAAAAAATGCCCCTTACGACATAGTGTGGGAAATGTAAACCTCCCCTTCCCCTCTGTCATCCACCCTCGCACACCGACACCGATGTGAGACCGTGCAGGGCTCCCAACCATGTGAAATAATAATGCGGGGCTCCCGTGCCAAGTTTCCAGCTGTTTCCACATGTGCATCTCATACTTACCTCCTCCCGGGTGCCTGTGCCAGGACTGAGATTCAATAAAATGCCACACTAATCCGCAGTCCTTTTTCATTAAATGACCAATTAAAGCTAGAGGAAAAGGGTTCTTGTTATTATTATTTCAGTTGGGAACATGTTCCCTGTAGTGCCGGGTGGTTTTTATATGTATTTTTTTGCGATGATTATATTCTCTTACTACTTTGTTATCTCTGCAGAGTTTCCTTGCTACTGCCTCTGGTTTGCCCCCAGCTTCGGGCTGGTGCCTGACTTGGTTTTAAATTCTGTGAAGTTATTAAATACTTCTGTATACAAGTTAATGTATTCAGGGTGAGAACACTGTGTTTGTGCACTGGCAAAGCGTGTGAGTGGAGAGGTCAGAGGATATAAACAGTTGAAGAGAAGTCTCAGGGCCGTGCTGCTCCTGGGAGGTGGTGGTACCCAGGGCACGCAGTGATGCTCGGCTCCTCGTGCTGGGCCATTTGGAGGTGGGAGAAGGAGCAAACCCCCATCCCAGCGCAGCGTACGCAGTGAGACTGGCATGGAAAGGCAGGGGAAAGCAGCTGCCCAAGCACAGCACAAGGCTGAAGCCCATCAGGAAGTAAAAGCTCATGGGGTCTTAACACCTAGTCCCAGGTTCTCTTTGTTAGTCCACTGTGTTATACCTAAAACCTGATTTTCTGAGGTCTTGAGTCCTGGTACCAGCTGTAAGGACAGGTAAAGATGATGTGGCTTGCTGGAGAGCTACTCCTGTTGTATTTGTCGGTCTGCATGGACTGTCCATGAACATAGAAAGCCTTTGGCTTTGTGGTGAAGGTAGCGTTGCTTTGGGAACCTTAACCTCTGCCCAAGCTGTCTTTCCCAGGCATTTTAGTTGGGTTGATGAGAAGTTGTATTTTAGTTGAGTTGTGTTTTTAGGTTCTGTAGTTGCTCCCTATGGTAAAACAGCAAGAAAACTCTCAAAAAGATAAAGGAGGGAGTCATGTTCACATCCATGGTGGGCTGCACTTCTCCAGGGTTGCTGTGTTCAAGGTCAGGCAGCGAGCTGTGGAGCTTGTGGCACATTTCAGCTCTAACCAGCAGCTTGTAGCAGCAGACTGTGCTGATCACTGGTTCCCCAGTTGGGAGTATGGCCTGGGCTCTGCATGGTATGAGGGGAGCTGCAGCTTTTGGAGGGCAGGAGGCAGGTGTGGGGATGGAGAGGCAGGGAGACAGAGCAGCCTGGGGACCTGCTGGTCCAGAGTCAGTCCCTGGGACCTGCTGTAGGGTGAGTCCCCAGGTGCCTATCTTGGTGCTTGGTGAAGATCCAAAACCAGAAGATGAACCCAATCTGTGTGTGCATGCCCACCTTAAAGCAATATGTGCATCTATCCTGGTTGGATTATTTTTTTGGGTTAATCTACTCACTCACACCCTGACCATCACAGCCCTGCAAACGGTGTTTGGCTCTGGGTCTCCCTGGATCCACAGACAGAGGAACTGTCACCTTCCCACCCTGTGCTGTGATGCTTCCCTGAACACAGCCCAGATCTCCTGGACTCTTTTCTTTTTTCCTGCCTTTGCCACCGTATCACTTTACAGAGTAATGAGTTAAACAGCAGGGTCGTTAGCGCAGCTCGGCTCCTGCGCGCTCCCAGCATCGGCAGCGCCCGGTGTCTAAGCCTCCGTGCTGGGGGGAGCGTGGGGGGCTGCAGCGGGTGGAAATTTCTCACCACAGACTTTGCTGGGGCCAGACGTGTTGTAAATTTTACAAGAAAAACACTTTTACAAACCAGAAGTCCACCTCTCATGCGCATGGAGCTACTAATTAACAATTTGGAGACCATGCGAGCCGGGGAGCCGATTCCACCATTACGGAGCCTCATGGTTTTGAATCAGGTTTTGAAGATTTGGGGTTCTCCATAGAGCTCTTCTTCTCCAACTTCTTCCCAGTTCACACAAGGGAACCTTCCCACCTGCTTTGGGGTGGGCAGAGCACGGCACGGGACTGGCAGTGGGAAACATCCCTGGCCCTGCCACCCATCAGTGTTGGTGGGGACAGCAGATGGAACGAGCTGCCTGGTGAGGCAGGACAGAAGCAGGCAGATGGGGAGAATAATCTTCTTTAAAAAGTTGCTGGCTTAAATAACTGTGGTTTTCCTCTAAATTGTGATGAGCACGGGTCAGAAACCCTGTGAGGTAGAGCTGCCGCTTGATGGGCCTTTCCACCACTGTTTGGTGTTTTCCACCTCCTTTCTCTCCTCTGTTCTGTTTCCCTTAGCAACGGAAATAACAAACTTTGCCATTAGAAAAGATTTGCAGAGTAACTTTGCCTCGATGTTCTGCATTAGTCACAGCCCTGCAGGTACAGCTGCCGGGTTTCGCTTTCCCACAGTGTCCCCTACTGCTTACATTAAAAAATCCATTTAGGTACACGTTAAAAAAGGAGGGGAAAAAAAAAAAAAAAGATCTTAATGGAAGTATAAGGCAAGTCACCAGAAGGGGAAATGCTTTTTATGTACCCTCATCAAGAATCCCTGCGAAGAGCATGAGATGCATGGATTCCTGGAGGGAGGTAAATGCAGAGTCAAGTTCTGCCACTGGAGCTTGGACGGCGGCTCCCAAAGCTGATCTGCTCCTTTTCAGTGGCAGCAAGATTAAGGGAAGGGCACGGATACGGGATGTAAAGGGGGACAGATCAGATGAAAGGAGATAAAGAGGATGCAAGTGAAAGAAATGAGGAATAGAGAAGTCAATTCTGTTTTCTCTCTGATAACACAACAAGGGATAGCAACCTATTTTAAACTGATGGATGAACCTTCATTTCAAAATGTGTCATTACTGTTCCTCTGTGGAGCTAACTGCTGACAGAAATTAGTAAAATCAAGTGTTCAGGGGGCAGAATAGGCAAGAACACCTCCAGCTAGACCAGCCATGCACCAGACTTGCCTTGTAGCAGCACTTGTAGGCTTCTCACTGGCACTGGGACAGAGCAGTGCTGTGGGCTCGACAGGGCTTCAGGGCTGGCAGAAATTCCCCCTCAGGCATCACGCCTTGAGCAGAGGTCACTTCTGGGCTGGGTGAAGCTGGAGATGCATCCTTGACCATCATCTAGTCTCTGATCATCAGCTGAGCTGTGACCACTGGCTGTGAGCGTGCTCTTCGCCCCACTTAGCTGTGATGTGAACACCTTTGGGTATGCTTGAGATGGGGGACACTACTTTGCAGTTGGGGCAGGCTGGGAGCATGCACAGAGCCATCCCAGCTCAGCCAACGAACACCTCATTAAACCCTTGTGACTTGCACACTCTCAGTTGTAGCCGTACCCTTGGGAATGATTTCCAGATGAGCCAAGCTCAGTGAAGTTCTCCCTGCTCCCAGCAGATGCCAGAGGGTCTCGGTCTGGACCTCAAGGTGTTGGATCCCATGGGTTCTGTTCCTTGCAACACCAGGAAATTCATCATTTGCTCCCCAAATCAGTTGTAATTCCTCCCCAGAGACCACACAGAAGTCTTTAATGCTAATAACAATACATGGCAAGCCCGGCAGTGCCTAACATTCGTATTTTTTATTCCTTTCCTAAGACCTATGAACAGAATGAGTGGATAATCCACTTGGCTGGGAAGCTGCTGGCCCAGGAAGAGGAGGCCTTGTCCTTGATGGCAACGAACCCGTTTGCGGGCAGAGCACCCCCAAGGTAAGCTTTGAGTTTTGAGCTGGAAGTACCCAGGCTCCGTGCTATTCCCGTCTTGCACGTGTACATGTGGTTTCTGTTGATGGATTGGGTTTTGTATTTGATAGTACCTGGGTGGTCTTTAAGTAGGATGAGTTTAACATGAGGACACAGTGAAGAGCTGGTGCTCTCAGCGTAATTAGGTCATCTTTTATGAAGGGAATATTTGAGCTTATCATCCTTGTCCTCTGGGACAAGGAATGCTTTCCTGGTGGGGACACAAGGACCCTTTGGTTGAGCCCGTTCAGGCAGGTCTGTGAAGGGCTCAGCGTTGCTTCTCTTGGACAGAAATCGTGACTGCTGAAGTGGTTTCCTGCCCGACAGCTTTAGATTTTTTGCCATGATCACTTTGCGAGCTCAGATCAAAACCACCATTTCTACCGGCCCACTGAGGTATTTCAAAGACAAAACAGTCCTGCAAAAACGATTGTTTTTGCGGACACTTGTCTTGGAAGTGTTTGCGTTCTCAAAGAAGAGACAAAGCAAACATCAACAAGTGAAAGGCACAGATGAAAACCCCAAGGTTTTCTACAAAAGGGTATTTTTCACAAAAGTGTCTATTTTGTTGATGAAGTTATTTTTAGCTGAGAAAACATTTTAAGGGAATTTTGGATCAACTCGAGTAATTTTATGCTCTTGCTAATATTTTCCATTTGAGGCTCTCAAGATGCACTGCAAACAAGGATGAAGGTTCATGGCACCGTGTGAAATGAACTTCCCCTTGAACCCTGCTGATGTTTTTCAGATTTAGCGCAGTGCATCCCTCAGATCTTCTGAGGAGAGACTCCTTTTCCAGCTAAGACCATCCACCCTTTTACCAAAGCGCTTCCTCTGGGGTGGTTTATACATCCCAAGATGGTATAAATCTATAAACCCAAAATGGTTTGTACTCTGAGCTGACCATGTGTCTGTATATAGTGTGGAAAACAAGAGAGCAGAAGCACAGCTGGGGATACAACTGGAAAGTGAGTTTCCCACCATCATATTTGAGTATTTCTAATAACTATGTTTCTGGGGTTCATCAGGCATCCAGCCCTGTAGAGCCCAGGCACCTTATCAGAGCATTGCTACAGGCTGATGGGACCATACGCCCTCCAGGTACAGGAGCCAAGATTGCTGTAAGACCAGTTATTTGGGGGGGTTTGCACATATTCTCATTTGAGAACCGGTTTTCCTGTTGGTGCAGCATCACAGAGCGAGCCAGTGGGAGCTCCCAGCTCCTGGGGCAGGATCCTGCCCGTAGCCCAGAGACTCACAGCCCCACTGGGGGTTCCCATCAATGCTGGTTCGTAGCTCAGGACACGTTACAGGGTGGTGGTGTTGTTCATTGGGTTATACAACCAGCAGATCCGTTACACACAAATAATGACGCCTTGGCTCCGGTCCAGGAGGGCTCTGGGGAACCTCTATTAATTATTGCTACAAAAGGCATGCTGGGCTAGACCAGCACAGCCCTTGCCACGGACAGATACAGCTTTAGTAACGTTTATGGAAGGGTTTTAGCTCTGATTAGCTGTGCTTTCCATGCAAGGAGCAGCATGCTGATGCTGCATGATCAGCTGGTCTGGCTCGGTGGTGTCGAGAGGAGCACCCCATCACCTGCAAAACCTCCTTGCTACGGGTTGTATTCCGATTTTGGCCATGTTTTCTCTTTGCTTTTATGGAGCTTCGTTTGATTCCACGTGCATTTATTGGCCAACTTAGGGTCTGCATCTTATGACAGCAAGATGGACCTCCCTGCTGCTCCCTGCCACCTCCTTTTCAGGGGCTGGTCAGCCCCCATGGAGGTTTCTGTTGATGATTCTGGTGGTTTCTGTTGGTGGATTGGGTTTTGTATTTGATGGTGCTGCTGCTCACCCCCCATGGAGGTGGCACCTTTCTGATGGCCAGGGAAGGGGCACGGTGCAGTCCCAATGCCTGTGCAACCACTCACATGGCAGGCAAAGGTGGTGGGTGCCTCGTTAGGGTGCCAACAAACGCTGGAGCTCACAGCGGGCAGAAATTGAGCCCAGTGAGAATGGCTCACCCACTGGGATCTGGCAGGAGCTGGGTCCTTCAGGAGCTTGTTGTGGAGATGGTGCTGGGGCATCATTTGCCAGGCTGAGCTGGAAGAGCAACCAGGGAACCTGCATTGCATCAGCTCTGTCTCAGGTGGATTTATCAACTGAGTCTCTTCAAACTTTGCTTGTGTCCCTGAGGCTCAGGGCTGTAAATTCACCAAGCAGCAGTCACTGCAGGGCATTCCCTTGCATTGCTTTTTTTTATTATTATTATTTAAAAAAAACTAGAAGAAAGAAATTGAGTCCTGAGTGCTGCCTGACCCTGGGGGGTTTTAGCAGAACCCAGGACCTTTAGACACCAAGTCACCAGTTTGAATTAGGTGTCCCTTGGTGCCAGCAGCCAGAAGCCATGACCATCTGGTGGCTGCTGGCAATAAACGGCTCTCGCAGTTCACGGAGCGACAGGAGCATTTGATAATCCCAGAGCTGTTTATTACCACGTGTCCCCCAGCGCCGTAAACGTTGCTCCTGGTACTCACCGAGGCTGAAACCAAGACATCATAACAGAGTAAAAATCAAGAAAATATATATATATCGTCTTGCCTTCTGATATTCGCCATAGACAGGCTGCATCTCTTCTCTGCTTCCTAGCATCAGTGGTGTTAAAAGAATTAGAATAAAGTAGTTGAACACAGAAACTCATTTTAAAATTAAAATAATGAAGGGAGATGTGGCAGGGATAACACCACATTGCTCCAGGTGGTGAATAGGGGATTTTTTTATTGTATTCTGTAACAGGTGAGGAAGTGAAATGTTCAGGAATTTGAAGCAAAACCAAAAGCAAATCTTTATCTTCATTAGTTTTTATAGGATAACGATTGCAGAGCGCACAGAGGAATACAGGCAGGCCCAGTAAGTAATTCCACAGCAGCGTGGATGCTGTGTTGAGCACACGGCGCTATAGATCTTGTTGAACAGGGTCTTGATTCATGCGTTACCTTGGTTTAACCAAAGCACAGACTCTGTTTTCACTCTTTAGCAGCTAGTTTATAGTAGGAAAAGATCAGGATCCAGCGCTGGTTTTATGTGTCAGCTGCCTTTGCTCTGGCATTAGCTTTGCTTTAAAAGTTTTTCATGGGTCTAGTGTATTTTTGGGTGGCGTAAAATAAAAATAACAATTTAAAAACGCTCGTTTTGGCTCAGACCAAAATCCGACACCCCGTTTCCCAGGTTGGGGGTCACGTTTCGGGTTTTAGCGAGCCAAATCCAAACCCCTGGGACGTTGGCACCATCCGGATTTTCACCCAGGTGTGAGGGTGAGGGCTGGGGGCTGGGGTGGGTGCTCACGTCTGTCTGTGCTGAGGCAGGGGGGTCAGGGTCGCATCCTGCACTGGGCTGTCAGTCACCCATTCCTGTTGCTGTTGACATTTCTCTGGTTATTGCTTGTTTGCTGTTAGTGCTTTGCCTGTGGAAGGAAATGGAAGCAATCATTTGCCTTTTTTTTTCTTTTTTCCCCAATTTCTGTGCCCCATCCCAGCTCTGCTGGGTTTACACTCGCGCTCACAGCCGGTGTGGTCACAGCAGCTCCATCAGCTGCTCTTCACTCAGCATTACTTCTGCTCAGGTGGGCTCGCCTGCTTGGTTTTGGGGTCTTTTTCCTTTAAATTTCAAAAGCACTATTTCTTAGTTTAATTTTAAACATCCCCGTGTTGCACGTCGAAGCTCCTGGCAGGGCTGGCAGCGCCCTGCACCCACGGCGCAGTCCCGGGCACCTGGGATGGTAGAGCCATGGCCAGAACATGGGGGATCAATCTGTGCTCTCCGGTCTGGGTGCAAGAAGTGTAAGAAGAGGCAATGAGCAGGGTTTACCTATTTTTTTAACTTAGACCTTTTATTAACTAAGTGCTGAACATCCTCAGTGCTGGCAGCCTCTTACAGCCAGTGATCACCTTCTTGTTATCGTTTCATTTAGGTTGTCAACAAAAGCCTTAAATTTAAGCCTCAGTGGTAACACCTGGAAAGAAAAGGTAATTTGGGGTGGCTGTAGCTCTGACGGTTTCCCAAGGGCATCCCTGCACCCTCGGCCATGAGCCAGAGCCCACCTGTGGCTCCTGCAAACCTTGGAGACACCTTCACTCCCATCTTCCAGCTCAAGGTTGTGCCCAGCACAGCTCAGCTCCCTTCGGTAGCTGGGTGGAAAAAAAGCTAATTTTGCTACCATATTCCACCCCCCGGTCCCACCCCCCCCATCCACTCTAAAGGGAATTTTGAGACTTAATTATTTTCATTCCCTGCTAGACTAAATAATTAGGGGAAGGGACTGTTTTCCTTAAGAACATTACGCTCCATACTCCACGGAGTTTATTCTGTTAATGGAAACTCTACACCTTAAATAGCCAAGGGACTTTCAAAATGAGTTAATGCCTTCGAAATGAAATTTCTGAGACCAAAGTTTGTAGGTTTCTTTACAACGCTAGAAATTATAGTATTTTTTCAAGTGTGATAAACTTAAAATGAGAAACAGGTGACTGATTAAAAATGAGGGTATTGTTGAGCGCCCAGCCTAGCTGAGTGTGAAGCTTTACTTCAAGCACAGTGATGTTTGTGGAATGTGGATTTACAAAATATTATTGTGCAGCGGATAGTTCATAAAACACCAGCCATCATAAATCTGAACGGTAGGGCTTTGGCTGAGAAATTAATAAGTGTTTAACACACCGTCATGGAAACAGACTGCAACAATGAAAGAAAACAAAAATCAGATTTTGCCTACAGAAGGAGGAAAAAAAATCAGGTTTATTTTTGACTGAAGTGTTCGGTGTCTCTGATATTAAATCATGTTCACTTCAGGACTTTTATTCCAATTATAGTAGCACTTTGTTGAAAAAGCCCCAACATGCAGCTGAAGACTTCGGTTTGTGGTGGTGCTGTTATTTATGGAGGCAGTGCTTCCCGTTTGATGCT